CGTCTCTCAAGGGAAGTCTCAGCAAAAAGGCCAAGGACTGAGTGAACCCCGGAGACTGTGCTTTCTCACACCTAGAAGTGACCTCTCCTAGGCAGGGTTTAGACATTTTGGCAGGACTGAGTGGAATGAATTTATATTTGTCATTTTTCAGTTGGGGGAGCAAAAAAATAAATAAATCTGACATTTAAAAAAAAATTACTCCCCAATATTCTTGCATGCTCAACCAAACAATAACCAAAGAAACTTTGCTTAAACTTAAGAAAGCCCCAAACCCAAATCTTTGGGCTGAGACCAAGACTGGATAGATTTATCCTAAATGAAAATGTGTTACATTATGTGAATCTGAAAACATGGTATCACCTTTACAACCATTTTGCAGCCTTCTCTCTGGTGGCCACCTATATGAATTCTTCCATAATACATTAATTCATTAAATTTTGGGAAATGTTTTGAGATAGCTGAGTGAAATGTATTATAAACTACAATTATATTATAATCACAAACGAAGGTCTCAGTTCTGTAAACTGCTCCATGTGGGCAAATCCGTGCACTTGCCTAGAACTCCACTGAAACGAACAAGACTTGGGGTAGGGTCTTGCCTGCACAGACCTATTTGCAGGACAAACAAAATGGCAATACAGAATATCACAAAGGTAGTAGTTGCCAGCTATCATGATTTTATTGTGAGTCTTGTGATATTGGGTGTTATTCTTAAAGCCCCAGTTCCTGGAGTCAGGTGATCACAGGAGAATCTCAGTTTTTGTTTTTAAAAGGTATGTTTCTAACCTTCCACGTTGTGGAGACAAGGTCAAAAACATGACTCAAATGCTCCCCAAGAGCTCAGAATCCAGAGCAAATTAAATGGTGTTTAAATCAATCTCATGATTTTCCAGTGCTTGCGGTTGGCATAGCAGTATAGGCCATGCTCACCCGAGAGGAACATGATCAGTACTCGCAGGTTGCTAATGTTGTTTCCCGGCCTGATGGAAACAGTGCTATTTTCCCTTATAACTGTGTTACGTCATGTACTAGGCGTGAATTTCTGTGTGTGCAGGTCAGCCTGGGTGTACATCCACGGGGCTGTGAATGATTCACCAACGGGTGTTGCACCAGGAAAAGGTGTGAATGGAGGTGTGAATGGCTGTGCAGGATGAGTACTGGGATGAGGAGGCCACATAATCACAGAAGCATGTGATGGATAGATAGATAATCACAGCAGAATGCATGTGTGTGGGGGGTGGGGGGGAGGAATAAAGAGAGAGAACAGACAGATGAATAGAACGGATAATCTAACGGGACTGTGTGTGTGTCAAGGGGGGGAATGGACAGACAAGACAATCACAGCAGAGTGTGTGTGTGTAGGATGGATAGATGGGAGGGGGCGCATGTATGAATACACAGATGTGTGTGTGTGGTGGGGGACGGATGGAATAAATGGAAAACCATAGCTGAGGGGGGGCATGTATGGATGGATGGATAGATAGATGGACGGATAGGAGGGAATGGGTGGACGAATGGACAGATAAGCGCAGCAGTGTGCGCATGCGTGTGGGAGGGATGGACAGACAGACACAGACAATCACAGCAAGGTGTGGGGGTGTGTGTGTCTGTGTTAGAGGGACACAGATAACCACAGTGGGGGGAGAGGGGACAGGACAACCACAGCAGTGTGTGGGTGCAAAGAGACAAGAGGAGGGGACAGATAACCACCGCAGAGCGTGTGCATGTGTCGGGCGGGGGGAACACACACACACACACACACACACAAGCACAGCAATGTGGGGCTGGGGGGGGTGGGGGAGGAAGGGGCGCGCACACACGGGGAGGAGGGCGGGCTGCCCTGGCCGTGTCCTTGCAGGCCCAGCCCGGCGTTACTCACTCGCGGTGCCAGAGCTCCCGCAGCCGCTCCCAGCCCGTGCCCGGGGGCTGCGCGGTGCCCAAGTGCCGGGGCGCCGAGCCCAGCGCCCGGCCGCTCTCGGGGGCTGCCATGCCCGGCTGCTGCCGCGGGAACCGCGGGCGGGCTCCAGCCTCCGGTGCCGGACGCCTGGCTTCCCCCGCCTCACCCGGCGGCAAGAGCGGCCCCGGCTCGGCCTCGCCCCGCCCCCTGCCGCCCGGGAGGGGCAGCGCAAGCAGCGGCCCTCAGCGGCCCCGCCGGGGACAGCCCGGCCCCGCACCTCACCGGCCCAGGCGGCACCGCTGCTGCCCCCCGCGCCGCCCTGTCTGCCCGCTCATGGGGCGGGAGCCGGGCCCTGCCGCCAACGCGCCGCACCAGAGCCCCCTAGGGGCTTTCCAAAGTCACGGACCACGCCCTAGACAGTAGCGGGGCAATCTACCCCTGGGCAATGATTTGATGAATTTTAATTTTTGTTGGTTTTCAGACGACCCCAAAACAGATTTCTACTGATCTGTTCATTATTCAAAAGTACTGAACACGTTATGCCGCTGTATGTCCACCTATAGGCTAATGGTGAACTGCTCACTTCTGCAGTTTATGGTGTCTGATTGCTCATCTAACTTGTACAGTCTTGTTTCAGCTTTTTGATTGCCTGACTTGTGAATTTTATAGGGGAGGAAGAAAAACAAAAATATTTCATGGAAAGACATTAGGGTGACTATATAGCAAGTGTGAAAAATCCGGACGGGGTGGGGGCTAATAGGCACTTATGTAAGGAAAATCCCCAAACCTTGGGATTGTCCCTATAAAATCAGGACATCTGGTCACCCTAAAACACATGTACAAGTTTTCCTAGGACTTACACTTTCTGCCAACATTCATGTACAGATATTTGTGGAAAACTAATAAAAAGGGTCACCAAGAAGATTGTTCAAATAAAAGCTACAACTTTGCTCCAAACATTTGTGAAGAAATTTTGGCAATACTGGCCCACTTCTATTACATATGTAGCACCATTGAAATACAAGCACCTCCAAAGTGGAACATGGCAACCAGCACCCAGTACAACAGCCCAGAAATGGGATATTCCAACCCTCACTTAATGAAAAATTACTAGGGAATCTTTAATGTCCACACAAAGTACAAAAAGGATCTTGGTTTGTAAGATTTAATTGACCTCCCTTCCCCAATAAAGGGCAAGGAGCTTCATTTATCTACTTCCAAAAGAGATAGGACAGGTTTAGCCCTATTGTGATTTGAATGTATGGTTGGAGGAAGTTGTGTTTCAATCCTAATGCTTAGTGCCTCTGCTTATGGTTCCTTACATTAGTTTTCTGTATGGTTCAGTAGGATAAAAAGATATTTAAAAAAATACAAGAAATGAAACCAAAGCTATATTCCTTTTTGAAAATGCAAAAAGTATAGTCCAGGGAAACCTTAACCATACTGTACCCAGAAGTGAAGAAATACAAGAGGGAGTAGTACTTCCCCTCATACCTCACGATCTACAATCCTGAGCTGGTCCTTGTGTACTTTAAAGTTCATACTTTTTTTCGTTTTTTTAAATTCTGACTGGAAAATTAGTGCTGATGCTCTAGAGACAGAAGTCTTGCTGCTTATACCCATTCAAAATGCAACTGGAAAAGATAATTTGCCTGGCTCATTGCTTTGACTACATCATCCTTTTCTGTCCCTCCATTGACTCACCCTTCTCCAGCTCATGGAGCACAAACTACATACCTTCACTTTCAGAGCCCTTCCCAGCCTATCCTCACCCTACCTATGATATATGCTGTTGAGTTGGCTCCTGCCTCTGCATTGCTAATGATGCCAGCCTTCATCACCCACTTGTTGGTTTTAAAAAAATGCACCTTCATGTTCTCTCCCATGCTGTCCCTCAAGCTTGGGAGGAGCTCCCCTTAAACACCTGTAAAGATAACTCCTTGTTCTCCTTCAAATCCCTCCTTAAAGCTCCCCTTTGCCATGATGCCCACAACCAACTTGACAAGTTAGCCAGCTGGTGTGCTGAGACCTCTGCTTATCATACTTACCAGTATTGGCTCACTGTTTCCTTGGGCTCCCCCATCTGTCTTATTCACCAGTTGTCTCTTGTCTTAGATTGTAAGCTCTCTGGGGCAGACACTGTCTTTTTATTGCATTTGTACACTGCCTATCACAATAAGATCCTGGTCCTTAACTACGGCTCCTAAACTACAGCTGCATTATAAATGATATACTCACAGAATAGGGCAGTTTTAACACACTGCCCCAAGAATGTGTTACAAATGTTACTCTGGAGGGAGAAACCACCCCTAGGGTGGAGACTGGACTCCAGTCTCCTGCCAACGCAATCTTTGGCTTTTCTACTGCGATGGGCAGCAAGGGGGCCAATTAGTCACACCTGGTTTAGTGATATGTCTGCCTGCCTACAAGGAAATGAACTCAGTTCCCTAAATTATTTCACATGGGCCACTGAACAGCTATTGGATGGTAACAATTCTTACCAAATCTCTACCAATTTTGGACAAGATTTGAACTAGTGACGTAAGGTACATCCACACTTATGGTGATGTGTAGAGTACAGACACTGTACGCCCAGCTAACATGGGTATAAATAGCAGTGCAGACGGTGAGACATGGCTTACGTGAGCAGAGTGCCCTCCATGCCTGAACTCCCAGGGTATATACACTACACGGTTCTCTACACACCCAAACAGTGCCTTCCATGTTCACACTATTTTTACCAGTGTAATGCCCTGCTGCCTTCCTGCTCTCTGAGCCTTTCCAGTCACGGGTAGCTACACACCACAATGACAAAAGGTGGACACAGCCTGACTTTCACTGTAGCATTCAGCAACCCGTGTAGTGCGTGTACTCTACATGCTCCCTTAAGTATAGATATAGCTTTAGATGTGAAAGGCTCCACTTCTCAATCCCATTCCCATGAGCTATGCAATTCCTCTAAATAGTCTCCCTAAAGAGAACAAATGGTAAGGAATGTATTATTGCTACATCCTGTTGGGTAGAACAGCTGTTGACTGTCCAGTTCCTTTATTATGAGAGAATCATTGTTTTGATTGAGAAATAATTCAGCCAGTAAAAAGGGTTGTTGATTTTTTGTTTTTAATCCAAAAGCACTTCATTAAAAACAAAAAGGGTTTAAAGATACAGTAGATAAATCTGTTGTATCATTTCAGATAATTCCATCACCTCATTAAAACCTGTCATTCAAGCTTTTATTAAAAAGTCTTCCAATATTACACAGTTCTGACTCCAAGTTATTCATTTTCTAATTTAACTCTTTTACATGCTGGGTCAGCCCAGCCAGTGGTCCTGTAATTGGCGCTCTGCGCTAGAAATTGATGTTTGCCTGTCATGTCTAGTCCTTCTTGCTCTGTACTGGGGCCTGATGTTGGGGTGTGTTTGTGTGTGAGAACTCTGCAGCACCCCAATCTGCCAGAAGTCAGAAAAATCAGGTCATGGCTTTTTCTATTCCTCTGATTCAGTTGACAAAGGAGGAGTAGGGGGTAAGTAGTTGCCTCCATCTCCCCTCTGTTCCCTCTCCCCACCCCACCAGTTATCTACGTAGAACATGGCCAGCCGAGTTGCAGTACTTACATAAGATGCAAAAACCTCAAAAGAGTGAGACTCCAAGCAGATGCTTACGCTGTTGTGCTTTCAGACAGTCTTAGCACTTTACTTCATTCTGCAGTGAGCCCACCACACAACTAAGGAGCCATGTTGAAAGCTGCAAAAAGAAGTGTTCCAGTGACATCCGACCTTTCATATTCAAAGCCAATGTGCTGAAAATCAGGCAAGCTGGTACTGTTAACACAGCCACATGGTCTAGAAGACAGAGTCTCAACTCACAGAGACGGACAGTTCACAGCTTACATGGAGAAGACACCCAATTTTTAAAACGTAAGGTAAAAGCATCCAAAGGAATGCACAGACTAAAACCTACATCCAGCTATCCTTGGTCAAAAGACAGGTGGTTATGCAAGGCCTTGAGATTATTTAGAGCAAATGCAAGGGACAGGAGGCATGCCCCTTTGGGTTGCACAGGCAGAGAACACTGTACATTATGATTGCACCTCTCATCTCAGGATCACAGAGCACTTTAAAAACATTCATTCATCATCAAAACCCCTCTGTGAAGTAGGTAGCTTTGCTGTCCAAAGGTATTTTTTAGTGTCCAACATGGTGTTAACATCTGAGTGCTTTACAGACTTAAAAAAACAACAACCCTAAGCTACCCATAAAGGTAACCTAAAACCGGCTGCTGACAGGAAACACCTGTACCCAAACTGCCATCACACAATCACAATAACATTGCCAATTTGCCCCCAGTAGGAGTATACCTACATGGAGGGAGGCAAAGAGGATTTAAATAGGTCACGTAGTGGGCTTTGGATCATGCCCCAGGCCCTGACGACTCCCAATTACCACAATGGACTTTGGATCAGGCTCATAGTGAGTTAGAGATTGGGGTGGTAACAGAACCCAGGAGTCTTGATTGACAGTTCCCTGCTCTAAGCACTAGACTCAACTGCCTCATTGATTATATATGACAGGTTTCAGAGGAACAGCCGTGTTAGTCTGTATTCGCAAAAAGAAAAGGAGTACTTGTGGCACCTTAGAGACTAACCAATTTATTTGAGCATGAGCTGATGAAGTAAGCTGTAGCTCACGAAAGCTCATGCTCAAATAAATTGGTTAGTCTCTAAGGTGCCACAAGTACTCCTTTTTATTGATTATATATGTTCTCCAAAAGTTTTGGGTCTAGCTAGTGTGATTCAGTCTCATTGCTCAGGAACTGTTTTAAAGTAACAATAATGCTGCTTGCTGTAGCTTTACAGCAGTGGTTTTCAACCTTTTTTCATTCGCAGACCCCTTTGAAAATTTCGAATGGAGGTGTGGACCCCCTTGGAAATATATTGTCTGTACATATAGTTGAATTCTGTTCAGTCAGTTTTCAGTCTAAGTCTTTCACGGACCCTTTAGACATAGTCCGCAGACCCCGGTTGAGAACCACTGCTTTAGAGTATGAGATAATAAATCTAAGGGACAAAGAGTAACAGAAGATACACCAGTCTTTGGATTTTCAGTGACCACCAGTCCCAAGCCTTGAACTGGAAAGAGAACCACACTGGTTTTAAAGTTCTGTTTTCAAGTGTTTGGAGACCATCTCATCATAGTTTTTCCTCCTCTTAACTTTGTAAGTCAGGGCTTTAGAGTATTCAGTCAGCAAAGTCTCCCAGTAACAAGAGACATCCTTCATCTGCAAGTGGTCCATGATGAACTGGTGCCCCCTGGAGGCAAACAAAAATAAAGTGACAGCCCAAAGTCAAACTTCGTTCTTGTAAAATGAAAATCCTTGGATTTAGCTTTTTTATATCAATTTTCCCAGATTTTTTTTTAAATGGGGAAATATGAGAATTTGGATGTACAGTGAAATATACGGTTTATTATTAATGTTAATGTGACACCTTTCATTACCACTAGCAGCTCTGATAACTAATTATTCACAAAACAGGTACAGCCTAGGGAGTGGCACTGCAAGCTTCCCCTACATTGCCCCACCAATCAGCCCTGTTTGACATTTACTCCCAGTGGTGGTGGCAGCATTTCTGTGAAATGGACATTTGTTCACTGGGGCTAACTTATTTCGTACCATGAACAAAAGTTAGTACCTCTTTGAGGGACTACTGACATGGATCAGATTTGAACAAGAGGCCTAGAGGTGAAGAGTTCTGTTGTCCTGGTATAAGTACCCTGAGCTCGCCACTCTCCCTGCTTTAACTGCTGAAGATAGATACATTGTGCGCTGTTATCACCAGGCTGTCCTTGACAGGTCTCTCTTTTGAACGTTGTACGGTACAAAGAGTATTGGAGGACAGGTGTTTGACAGTCAGAAAGAATACACAATTTACCTCTCTGAAATTTCTTGTGCTACATCATCATTTTCCTTCACAAACTGCAACAGCTCCCTAAAAGGAAAAAGAAAAATTGCAACTAAGTATTGGCTCAGTGCAGAATACCACACACCCAGCTAGTGTGTTGTGGCAGAACTAGATTTGGGGATTCTAAAGCCAAACGTGATTGGTGCTGCTACTTTCATACCAGTCTTGGGGGGGAAGTCCTGAATTCTGGCAGCTGACGAATATTTGGGACCATTAACGACTAAGATGACTGCTCTCCTTTTTACTTTGTAAGTCAGAATTGCTGAGGGTTTGTCTCAATTTTCACTTCTAACCTTTTGGTTCAAGGTGTGCTGAACATCGGACACACCAGATCTGGCCCAGATCTCAGAACAGATATTATTACTAAAAAGGTAAGGCATAATCAAAAATACCTTCAATAATCAAACTTACATTAGAATAATGTCAACATTTATTGTGTCTCTCTAATGAGCCTAATAATATATTCTCCCTCTACATGTCTATGGCTCTAAACTATTTCCTGTATGACTAATATGCACTGAGAATTTTGTTTCTTTTACAAAGAAAGGAGAATGACATGTATACATCCCCTCTCTCTACAGGATCAGCAAATGTCACATGATGTTCTTTCTACCTTTGGTGCACTGAATACGAGACAGAGCGTTGGTATTTGTCAGTATAACCCAAGCCTGATCATACATTGCGTAGCATGGGTAGCATACAGCCTACTGCATGAAATAATCTGTATAACACACTTGGGATCATTGAGTCATTCCAAAAAATCACCTGTAGTCTCCTACCTGACATCAGAGAGGTCTGGTTTGACTGGGATGTAATGTACCCAAGGCTTCAGCTGTGGGTAGAAGAACTCCAGCCACTCTTCCCCTACATGAAAGACTAATGAGCCACACAAGAAGAGGTGTTTGAAGCGGAAACTGGCTGCTACCCCCCGGAAATTAAACAGGTATCTGTAAAAAGAGAAGCAAAGACATTTGATTTTGTATTGGTATTCCCCATCCACTAACTCAGGATTTTTTTAAATCACTTTTTTGAAACTTTGACTGCTTTTTAAAATCTGAAATGCTAAGTGCCCTCACCTCAAATGAAAAATGTGTGTGGAGAGACTAGGCTCTGGCTAACAAGTCTGCATATTCTGTCCCCCCTGCCTCTGATGTAAGAACTAGTGAGAAAGTGAGAACAGAGACACTTCACCTGCCAAGGTCAGATTTCAGGTTCCTTATTTCCCTGTTTACATTTTATAGCATCACTGAGTCCCATAGCAGACCAAGAGCTGCATTTCTTATGCCATGGTAGTTAGCGATATAAACAACTGTAGAGAACCCTGAACTCAGGGTTTGGTAGGGAAGTAAAAAGGACACGCTTAATTTTAAACATTTTGGTTTAAGGGAGGCTTTTGTAGTTAGTTTCCACAGAGCCCTTCAGTTCTCTTTACATTCCAGACTTGGTAGTCTCCTGACACTGGCATTTAAAGAGGCCAAACTAAGCTCTCCCAAACCTTCAACTGACTCCATGTAGGTGCAGAGATCTGACTGCCTCCATGGATTCAGTTCCAGGATTGGGGCCTTAAAAAGAAAATAATGCATTAAAACAAACAAGCCTAGCAACACTAACAATCAGACAAGATTTCAGCAGCTCCTGAACATATTTACTGAACAAAACCTCACTTGTATTTGCAGTGATCGACCAGAGGAATTTCCTTCGCAGGTGGTTTCCCGAGAGTGTCCTTCAAGAAAAAGACACTTAAAAAAATTAATTCAATACAGTTTATTTTCTGATCACATTTTGTATGAGGCTTCTTTTTCAACAAACCATAAATAAGGCTGAAGTTTCAAAAGTCTCCCTGCTCATGGGAAAACCCACCCAATCTGGCTTCTAAGTGCATTAGCATCTTTGGGGGACTCTCTCGTCTTTACCTAAGATATAGTCTCCGTACGTTAAAAAACATTCTAAGAACAAGTCTCTTACTTAATGACTATAAAGAGGGTTAGGCTTTAGCAATTCATCTTCCTCATCTCTGTGTGCACTGGAACTTTTAACTTAGTAGCGCTGGGGGAAAGTGTTGTTGGTTAATGCAAGGAACTGTCAAAAAACCTGCAACTTGTCCACAGAAGAGTTAACAGTCGGCCGCAGTGAGAGCTTCCCCCATCACAGAGGAAGGGTTGCAACCTCCTGAGCAGATGCAGATAGCACAAAGCTATGTTGGTCACTGACACCCAGACCCTCATCCTCAGCAGACTGGCAGCAGACACAAACCCTCCATCACGGAGGCCAAAATAATCTTTGCTACTGTCTCTGGTTGCTTCTCCCACAGGTCTAAAATCTCAGTGAACAACAATGGCTTAAACTGTCCCCTAAAGAGCCTGCTCTGCTACCACAATCTGAATCTAAGTGACTGTCTTTGCAAACTGACAAGAATTTTCCTCACTGATAATGAAATACCTCAGTCCAGCTTCCTAGAAGCTGCAGGGGCAAAATGCCCTTAGTGGGTCAGATTTTTCTTCTCAAAACCGCAGAAGGTTGTTATGGGCAACAGTTCCTCCACAGCCCTCATGTGTGGAGTCCCACGAGGCTCTATCCCCCCCCTCCCAACTATTGTTCAGCACATATATGAAGCCTTTGGGGGAGCAGGTCAGGCAACCTGGGCTGAAGTGCCAGCCATTTCCAGATGACAGCACCCAACTCTATATCAAACGTGAGCAGCACAGTCTCCCAGATTTCTCAATGCCTAGCCAAAAGCAGCACCTGGAAAAAGGACAGTTGGCTAAAGCCAAACCCGGGGAAGAATGAGCTAATGCTAGTAGAAGAGGGAAGCACTTCAAAGAACTTGCTTCCCCCATTATTGAGGGCATCTGCCCTCAATTTGTTCAGTCAGTCTCTAGCTTTGGGGTTCATTTGGACAGGTTAAGGCTACTAGATGCTCAAATAACCACAAGGGCAAAAGATAAAAAGAAGAGTGTGCGCTAGTCCATGAAACACAGACTGGGCTACAGCAATCCATGAATTCATAACCTCCTGGCTTGATTATTGCAACTCTAGGACTGAAGCCACCCACCCTGAGAAAGCTCTAACTGGGATAAAACACCAGTAGCATCACAGGTCACCCTGACCACATCCCTCCAGTGCTCCACTCTCTATATTCTGTACGGAGTGCATGCAGAATTCACTTCAAGGTCCTTTCCCTGCTATTTAAAGCCCTCTGTTGGATTGACCATTACTACCTGTGAGAGCCTCTCTCCCTCTTTGACTCTGAGCTCCCACAACAACTTCGATCCACCACAACAATGAAACTATCAACCACCAGGGGAAGGTTCATAAATGCTGGAAACAGAACTTCATAGGACTTGTGTTACACTATGGGAGTCACACCTGAAAGAGATAGGAATGACCCTGGCTCTCACAGCATTCAGCTCTACATGGAAAACTCATCTCTGTGATGCCACTTTCCCTTAAGAACCTCTTTTCTCTCTCTCTCACTCACACTCACAAAAAGAAACTCCTCGAGTTACTTATCCTGGGGGGGGGGAAGGGGATGGAGGGGCTTGCTACTTATTTTTAAATACTTGTGAGCTCCTCAGAGACTGCAGTGATGCAAGTGCCGGTACCTACATTAGACAGATACAGCCATCAGATGGCAATAATTTGAATGCCTGACTTAGAAATGGCTTAACTAGTGACACAGCCTCCCCCACCCCCACCATTATTATCACCAGTCTCGTAAGAAGCAACATTTACATAAAACACTTGAAATTGCCCTTTTTAAACTATTGCTTCCTAAGCTGCTTATGCGGTTGGCTCGTTAGTGGTTACTTTTTCAGATTTCCAGGCCTGGTTTTTAGTGTACTCAGCATCGACGAGTTCTGGGTTCTCTCGAGACAGAACAATGAGGGGATCCCTCTCAGGACTTGTTCTGCAACAGAAACAACATTCAAATCAGTCAATGCCATTCTGCAGGTCTCCAAAGCTGCATGTCTGCATGACAGCCAACAAACAATGGGATTCAAGACAGAAATACCTCCTGGTCTCTAACAGACTGGTTCTTGTGTGGCCTGAAGGCAATATTGCTAAATGCTGCTCACAATATCTGTAGGAGGACATAATGGGGGAAAGGGGTTCATGCAATGGAATAACTAAGTGATATTCCCATATCCCATTTAGTTTTAAGTGGTATATTCTTCAGACATTATTCAGAACAAACCAGCAAAAGAGCTATATTCTCTTCGCGCCTGATCCTGAGAGGTGCTGATTACTCTCAATTTATATCTAAATCATGAAGTTAAGAGATGATTAGCATCTTTTAGGATTAGGCCCTTTGTTAGGAGAAAAATTTACATGGGTGTGACCTGAATGAAATCTTCAGTCTCTTTGTCTCCTGAATACACTATTGATAGTCGCACATTTTAAAAGTCTGTTTCCTTAAATGCACAACCTATAAATAGGAAAAAAATAGTCTTCTTCCTTACTCCCCCGCATCCAGGTATCATTGCTGTAAGGATACCTGATGATTCCCTGAAGTGCACTGCTGCAGAGAATTACAAAATAAAGCATACAGATGCCCAAAAAGGAGCTATGAGGATACCAGACAAACCTCCCAATGCATATCAAAGTAGCTGAAGTTCCCATTGCAAGGGAAGCGAAATACAGAACAAAGAGTCCCTATTTAAATCATTTATTAAGAACTAAAACAGCTGAACTCTTCATAGCACACCCATCACCGCTATTGTTATATGTATATCTTATTACACTAAATTAGTTGCAAATGACAGCTAATGCTTAGCACATGAGCCGAGAGGATATTGTACAAGGGGGTGCACCCTATTTGCTTTTTAGAAACATATTTTGGTTACATTTTTTGGTTAGTACTTAGAGAGAGAAAATTTCCCAAGTCCAGACGGCTGACACCGTAAGGCACTGCAGCTGGGAGCAAGCCTCCCAGCCCAGGTCGACGGATGCAGGCTAGCGGGGTTTGTGCCAGCACACTAATAAGTAGCTGTGTGGATGCTGCGGCAATGGTTGAGGCTCACACTCGCCACCTGAGCTTGTATCCAGGGAGTAGGGTGGGTCTGAGCTTGGGTGGCTAGCCCAAGCCTCCACTAGTGCCACAATGTCCACCACTGCTATTTTTTGGAATGCTAGGGCAAGTCGCTTCCAGCTGCAGTGCTGACCTACCCCTAAATGCACCCCCATGCAGCTCCACTACTGCTCCTCAAGCCAAACTTATTGTGCTTTGTTGCTGACTGAAACAGAAACTAGTGATTGGACCAAACTCTGTCAGGTACTTTTCTTCATGAAGTGGACAGAAATAGCCAAGGCTACATGGTGGGGTGAGGGTGGAACAAAGCATTAGTGCTGCACAGCAAATGTTTCCCTTTGGCATGGTCTTTGCAATATCGCCTACACTTAGCACAGGAAATGTCACGGCACTGCACATACTGCTTTTTAAATGGCAACTGCTGTGTCAAGTAGTACTTAAAGATACCCAGAAATAAAAAGCTAGTGCATATTTTCCTCAGCCTTATTTTGTACTTCATTAAACTGGCACCTGTTGGCAGCCTATATTGCCAGAATACCTGGAGTTGGAAAATACACTCACCTGGATCCTCGAAAATATCCTTTGGAGATTTTTTTCTTCCATGGCCATTTTTCTGCAGATCTAAAAACATTTTTTAATATGTGGTAATAAATAATTTAACACAAGCAGGAAAAAGTGTCATCAGTTTCTGCAGTATAGTCACATTTCATTATTCTTGAGGTTTGATGGGAACCAATTCTTTCATTAGAGCAGAAAAACATCTCAGCTAAGTCCAACAAAATAGGTCTTTCCCACAGATGGTAGCTCTCTAGCCAAGATGTTATAGGGACACTGTCAAGATATCAATCTATACACACAAAAACAAACTCTTTCCTGTGTTATCAGTAACACTGTGAATTATTGAAACTTAAATCATTTTAAAACTCCAGTTCACATTTCACTACTTATGCTGCTGCTTTACTTTTTTTGCATTTCACTGAGCACAGATCATGCATATCAAATGGGCAGTTTCCAGGCATTTTCACTTTCTACTTCTCTTGTACATGCAAAACACTGTTAAGTGCCTAACTTTGCAGGCTAATGTTTGCACAAACAACTTTCACTTTAAATTTAAACAAATAATTGAACCATTAGAAAAACAAAATAAAAAGAAAGTTTAAATATCATGTCTCTCTCATGTGTACATTCACACATCCACCAAAACACGTGCATGTCAGAATTGTTATCCCACAGGATTAGTTTTTGTAACCCTTGTCCTTTCTTCCCCAATCCTTTCCCCACTGTTTGTTGCTCTCACTTGTGTCTTGTCTAAAACATAGGTCCCACTCCTGCAATCAGCTCTGTGCAGGTAGACCTTTGCACGTGCATGGAGGCCCAGTGAAGTCACTGGAGCTCCATATGGGTCGGAGGATCTGCGTGCATGGATCGGATTGTACATTTTTTAAGGTGGAGAGTTATTTTTAAGAAATCTTACCATTAGGTGCCTGGTGTAGTTCTGTGCTCGAGAAAGAATGATTTTTTTTTTTTAATGCTCCTCCACAATTTTTTTTAAACCTGTATTTTGGGCCTCAATTATTGCCTTAGGAATTCAAGCAGGAAAACATTTAACTTTGGGGTCTGTTGCTAGCAGATCTTTGCTTCAAAATGCTTTGCTTCCCATAGCATTCCTATATTTGCTCACCTTCCCCTATATTTGCTTCACCTACACTACAAAATTAAATTGATCAAGGTTATGTCTACATACAGCCACTGCAGCAATTGAATCACTTTTGCAGATCCACATTGCGCTCCTTGTGTCAGTGGTACATGTCCTCACCAGGAGTGCTTACACCAATTTAACTGCCAGTGTGGGGCACTGTGGGATAGCTTCTGAAAGGCAGCAACAGTTGATGTAAGCAACACAGTGTCTACACTGAGTCAACCTGACTACATCGACCTAAGCATTACACATCTTGCAGAGGTGCAGTTAAGTCGGTATAGTGGGCAAGTTACATCAGTGGGACTGACATTTTAGTATGGATGCTTACAGAGTTAAGTCGATGTAAGCTGCCTTACGTTGACCTAACTCTGTAGTGTAGACCAGACCTAACAGCTGCTCTCTGAGGGAGACCAACCCTTAGACTGACAAAAGAATATTATGGCCACATGAAAAATACTCTCTCACAAACTTCTCCTGTCTTACTAGTCAGTGACTCTGGTCCCCTACGGTATGTCTACACTACAATCACACACCCACGGCTGGCCCATGCCAGCTGATTCAGGCCCCTGGGGCTGGCGCTGTGGGGCTGTTTAACTGCGGTGTACACATTCTGGCTCAGGCTGCAGCCCGAGTGCTGGGAAGCTCACAGGGATGTCTACATTGCAATTAAACTGCAAGCCTGCACGTCTACACTACAATTAAACAGCCCTACAACCCAAGTCCCACAAGCCCGAGTCAGCTAGCACAGGCCAGCCATGGGTTTTTAATTGCAGTTCAGACATACCCTTAGATCAGTGGTTCTCAACTAGGGGTACACGTACCCCTGGGGGTATACAGAGGTCTTTCAGGGGGTACATCAACTCATCTAGATATTTTCCTAGTTTTACAACAGGCTACATAAAAAGCATTAGCAAAGTCAGTGCAAACTAAAATTTCATACAGATGATTTGTTTATACTGCTCTATATATTGTACACTGAAATGTAAGTACAATATTTATATTCTAATTGATTTATTTTATAATTATATTGTAAAAATGAGAAATTAAACAATTTGCAAGCAAACCATTTTTAAGTGAGGAGAAGCTTGGGGGTACTCAAGACAAATCAGACTTCTGAAGAGGTACAGTAATCTGGAAGGGTTGAGAGCTACTGCCTTAGAGAAGTCCTGTCTCTTCTCCTGTGTAAAAACAGCCCTCTGAGCACAAGGTGATTTGGCTTCAGGAAAATAGACCTAAGAGGCTTAGAAGTTATTGTCACCATGTTGCATCAATGCTAGGAGGTTCTCTTGCGTAGTTATGCTGAGCTGTTTCTTTTCTATGTAAAAAACTCCTCTCTCCTGAAACATACCTTCGGAGGTCCTCTCTCATTAAGTCCCAGCGCCCAAGACCTGTGGGGTAAATTGGCCAAACAGCTGGTCCCCCTTCCCAAAACGTCCAGGCAGGATACATGATATCATGGTACTCGGAAGTCTTAAAAACAAGAAAATCAGCAGGTACACACGTGGCCATGCATTTAACCAAGTTTCACGCTCACTGTTAAGAAGAGGAGCAGCTGAGTTTTGTTTAAGAAAACAAAATAAACACACAAAGGTATTTAGCCAGTACACATGATAAGGATGATTCCTTGTGACTAGCCTGAACATAAGCTTCCTGCCCAGCTGGTGTTAAACAAGCCATTCTTGTGACTTGCCTGACCTTCTTCTGGTTTCCAACAATCTGTAACATTTTACTTTGGGGAAATGTTTCAGTCAAATGCCCTCACAGATGCGGAGCATGGATTGCAGGTTTATCCAGGGGAGCAGAACCAAGCTTAGATTCTGTTTCTCAGTGTATTGCCCTCACCTACCGCCCATCCTACTGGCAATGTAGCAATGCTGTCCTTGTAGTACTGGGAGGCCACATGCCCAACAAATAAAGAGGCTGGTTTTGTGTGTGTATATGTATGTGAAGGGGAAAGAGGTGCTATGTGATTTGCTGAACAATCAAACCCGGTATCCTGCCTCTGGCCATGTCTAATACCCGATGCTACAGAGGAAGGGGAAGAAAAACCCATAATGCACCAGATTAGTTGTGCAATGCTCTACATGGAGAAAAAATATTCTGACTACTAGCATGATCAGTGAATACCCTGAAGCATGGCTTTGATTATCTTTTTAAAAAGATATGTATTATGTATAGCTACAAATGTTATTATTGTTCATAAAATAGGCAGGACTGTTATGATCATTTCCTGCAACACTTTGCCATCTAGGCTGCTCATGGCTTCTCTTTAATTCACTTCAGACTTCCTAGGGATCATCCTACGCATAGACACCAATTCCGTGGGTGCTCCGGGGCTAGAGCACCCAGGGAGAAAAATTGGTGGGTGCTCTGCACCCATTGGCAGCTCCCTGCCCCGCCCCCTCACCCCAACTCACCTCTGCCTCCTCTCCTGAGCGCACCGCCGCATCCTGCTTCTCCTCCCTCCCACCACTTGCACCGCATAACAGCTGTTTCGCGCAGCAAGCGCTGGGAGGGAGGGGGGAGGAGGAGGAAAACGGCGCACTCGGGGAAGAAGCGGGGCCAGGGATTTGGGGAGGAGTCCAATAGGGACAGGGAGGGGGCGGAGTCGGGATGGGGCCAGGGCACAAGCACCCACTGGCGCCAAGGAAAGTTGGCGCCTGTGCCTACAAGTCACCATAAGGACATAATCCCTTAAGTGATACCACTTAACTTCACTGGTCAAATGGCCCTTATCAGAATTGAGCATCCAACAGTCTATCAGCACTTCCCCAATGGCTCTGTAGACGCATTTGTACTGCACCCCCAACTGGTATCTGAGCAGCTGGTTCCATTGGCCACATTCCGCTTGAAATAAAGAAGGAACTTCAATAAACTCCCATAATTTTTCACAGCTGTGATGTAGTCCTGAGGCTACAGTTCACTGGTGTCACCCTTTAGCTATGAGAAAAAGCTACCATTACTTTTCTGGACCACTAACCAAGAGGATTATAATATGCAAATTAACTCAAAGCAACTGAGTTTTTAGTGAGGCCACAAGCCCGCTCCCTTAACAGTGATCTTAAAATCAAACTATAACTTTATCAAAGATCTAAAGAGAATAATGAACCACAGGGATAATGGCACTAAATCCAGTGGTGGTATGCATCACCCCACTGTTGGACAGATGAGGCACTGATCTAGAGTATGAGCTTGTTTGGGAGTCATTCCCTTCAACAAATTTCTAATTCTTTGCACTGGAGAGCTAGAAGGAGAAAGTCTATAAATATGAAGAGCCAACAACTCTGGGTTTTGTATCTGAAAGAAAAGGGTAATTTTGACTCAGAGCCCTTGTGCATTGGAAAAAGAAAATACATTGTGGTAGAACCCTCAACTCCCTTAAAAATTCCTGTGTCCCATTAGGAAAGGAATGTGTAGCTTCTTACTCTTGTGGCTCCAATGAACTAGAGCATGAAATGCAGGTCACAGTGTCCCCCACTACCACAAAGATGCCTGCAGTCTCTCACCTTGCTGAAAGAGAATACTGGAATGACTGGCTTCATCCACTTGGGGACCTGGGGGTAATCTCGCACATTGATCACCATCTCCATGTCTGGGAGGCGGCCGATGATCTCCAGAATGAAATGTTCAACCCCATTACATCTGCAGAGAATTGACAAACAACCAAAAGCCATGAGCAAAAGACTTAGTGTCACCAGGCCTTCGCTTCCCCCACCAGTTATTGTTCTGAAAGGGCAGAGCTGAAGAAGAAAAGAAAAGAAAAGCTAAAAGGGAGAACAAAGCTGGAGGACACAAATGCTGAAGTATGAGATGGCCAGGTTTGGGGCTAGTTAGAAACAAAGACAGTGCCAAAAAATTGCAGCTGAGTTGTGGACAAGCCATGGAAAATTGCAGAAAAGTAAAATTATTTTTCTGCAATTTTCCACTGTCAGCCACCTGGGGCTGAGAGCAGGGGCTCCCGCTGTCAGCCTCACATACAGTGTAGCTCCGACTGTCAAAACTGTGGTGGAAGCCTACTACTGTAGAATTTGCAATTTCCGCAATATCGCAGGTTAAGTAGGGCCTTAATAATAAACATTTACATAGTATCTTTCATCCAAAATCCCCAGAACCACTCAACAAAGCATACAATCTGTAGGCAATAGACACAGCAATCACTCCACCCACCACTGAAATTCAGGGAGGCACCATAATAACGGTTTCAGAGCACACACTACTACTCAGCTACTTAGGACAGGAAATCAAGACTACCGCATCCGAATGAAACTGCCTGGGGAATCTAGAGAGGCAGAGTGTAATTATAATCACGCAAGGTAAACACTCCTACTCTGGCAGAAAAAACTGCCCGGGGATTGTTTATGATAAGTGGTCAAAATCTTAGTTTTATGTCTCATTTGAAAGAGTACATTTCAAGCAAGACATCAGGCTGGAGCTGGCTCTATGGTGACTCAAAAGTGGCATGGCACCAACCAAATCATCATTAATACCACTTGCTGAAGAGCCTGGGTGTTTACTAGAATCTCCCATCCATGGACTGACCTAACCCAACCATAGGAAATGTAATGGGATAGCCCTTATTTAGCATTTGCATCCATCGCAGAAGAGTTATTCACCTATTGAGTGACTGAGGAAGCCACAAACATAATGCAACAGATCAGAAGAGAAAAAGATAACTCTGTTAAAGTGGTTTCTCCCCAAGTGGAAAGATTCGGTCAGTAGGCTGTGCACTAGCAGAAGACGCTGCAGTTCAATTCCTCGGTCAAATCCTTTACTCTCAAGCACATAAGCAGGGAAGGACCCCTCATCTGTTGCTTTCTAGGTTGGCAAGGGCCAAGAGCAAGCATTTCAGGTCACTTTGTAGCAGGGTGAAGTGATTTAAATTAAGACAATGTATTTAACTGATTTAAATCATATGCATTTTATTTTTTAAAACAAACTTTCTTTCAATCACGTTGAGATTCTGTAAAACTAATTTGAAAATTTGTGCAATGGCAACTTTATATTAATATGTACAATGAACTAGATAATAAATGCTGGGTTTTAAAAAAATGTTGTTGCTGCTAGGAGATTTTAATATTGTACAAAATTGCTACACAGAAAGAAAACCACAGAATATAGAAAATGGAGGCTCTTCGCCTGCAAAAACTTGGGCACAGAACTTTAGAAACTTTAGTCACACAAATAGTCCCACTGACTTCCATTACTCACATGCTTGAAGTTAAGCACATGCATAGAAGTTTGCAGTCTCAGAAGCTAAAACTATTCCCATTAAAAACTTTTCTCTTGGACAATTTTTAAAAAAAAACCATGATTTAAAACAAAAAATACATTGATGAATTTTTTTAACCAAGATTTTCACCCATCCTGCTTTGCTGTGAACCCTCCTGGTTAATTGAGAGCAGCACTGATGGACCATGAAGGCATCTGCATCCAACTCTTTCCACTAAAGGAACGCCACTATGATAGAGGGTACAAGTGCAGGGGAAATGGATGAGAATCTTTCCTCTGGATCCTCTCACTCCATTGAACAAAAGAACACTAAATTATCCTCCCACACTATAAAGGTAGCTTGGGTACAGTCACTAGCCCTCTCTGACCCTCAACCCAACCTTGATCCAGGCAACAATGAAAAATATCCCCTTCAGCCAACCTTGCTCCCCACAAAAATTTAAGCCAGCCTTCTCTGGGACTCTAACCTCTTCTAACCCCTGGTCCAACTAATTGCAGTGGGGAGATTTCAATCCAGTGTCTGCTTCATCAAGATCTTCCCTCACACAGTGGGATGCAGTCCTGTCAAACACTCTTCCACTCAGTAAGTGGTCACATGGCTGGTTCTGAAGTAATTTTTTATTTCCCTGTGGAATGGATGAGATTTTCTGCCTTGCTCTCACCTAGCAGGGAACATGCAGTCATGCTCACGATATAACTTGTTCTTGATGATCTGATAGTGTGTCCCAAGCTTCCGGCTAACCACATCTGACAGCAGCTCCTTGGAGATTCCTCCCTGAAAGGGAGCCAAGTCCTGCTCCCTCATGCTGAGAAAGAAGAGACACCACCTTTCATTAGACACATTAGGGAAGATATTACATTCCCAGTTCTCATGTTTCCTAACTTTACTCTAATGGCTTTCTTGTCTTCCAAGTACTCCACAGTGTAGGCTGCACATTTTGACTCTTCCTGCTCTTCCCACCGCTGTCTTCATTTAAACACGTGGTGCTGTTTTGAGGTTTCAGATAAACATGGGCAGAGACTAAATCCCTTTTCCACAAGATTGTTAAAGCACAGGAAGCCAGTGATGCAATCCTGCTCTGGAGGGGCCATCTGCCGGAGGGCAAACGGAGAGTTTAGAGTAGACTACGGTCCAGTTAGTCACCTGCTTTACTGCTGATGCTGCCAGCAAGGAGAACAATTAAGAGGGTAGCTTTTGTGTGTGGATATCCCTCCTCTAGGAAACAGCATGAACCACCAACTAATTCTTTGGAAAAAGAAAAGAAGTACTTGTGGCACCTTAGAGACTAACAAATTTAAATGTGCCACAAGTACTCCTTTTCTTTTTGCGGATACGGACTAACATGGCTGCTACTCTGAAACCTAATTTTTTGGGAAGGACATCAATAGTGTTTCCTTTAAAACTAGTTTTCCCTCCTTGGTTGAAGGTCTGATAGCTTAGCTCTCAGCCATTTCACAGCTACACCCCACCTATCCATGCATGGCAAGAGTATTTTCCCTCTAGTGCCAGAGGGCCCCCCAAGCAACCAGGAAAGCATGCCCTCACCTTTGGTAGCAGCTGCAATTCTCCCTTATACATGGTCTGTAGCCTTCCATTGCTCTGTCAGTCTGGTCGATGAAATGTTTCCATTTTGCACCTGGAAGGAAGAAAGAAAGAAGAAAAAGACCTAATATAATACATCCATTATATTATCACAGCAGCTACCAGGAGACGAATGGGCCTTCCAGTCCATGAAAGCCAGCTGGTCTGGTGACAGCAATGGTGTGTGTCAAACACCACAGCCCACTTCTGTACTACTCTTATCCATGTGTCTAACACATTATATGTTGGTGCTGCCTGTAGGTGGTGTGAGAGGAAGTTGAAGGTCCATGTTTATTCAATCCGTGACTTCTCCACTGAAACTGTCAGCAAGGGGGTGCCAGAGGTGACAGTGGTTCTTTTAATGTGGATTCCTCAATCCAGACTGAAAGAACAGACTCAATTAACATAAGTCACTGAACAGGCATTAGGTAGCAATGACTCTGGTCACTGCTAGAGAGAGCTGGATTTGAACCTGTGGCTTAAAGGAAAGAATTTTTACTTGCACATGCTACCTAGTTATAACATGATCTAATGGCTAGAAATTGAAGATAGACAAATTCAGACTAGAAATAAGACATCAATTTTTAAGGGTGAGAGAAAATAACCACTGGAACGATTTACCAAGGGTCATGGTGGATTCTCCATCACTGACAATTTTTAAATCAGGATTGGACGTTGTTCTAAAAGATCTGCTCTAGGAATTATTTGGGGAAGTTCTATAGCCTGTGCTGTATAGGAGGTCAGACTAGAAGATCACAATGGTCCCTTCTGGCCTTGGAATCTATGAATCAGCTCTCCTTTGATTTTTACCCTCTTCTGAGAGGGGGCAGAGAGAAAGCTCAGTAACGTCGGCCCCTTACTCTTCTAGGTACCAGAGACCAAATCTTGGATTCTTGTCAAGACGTTGTCCTTACTCAACCAAACATCTAGATAAAGGGACATGTACGATGTAGGTGCTGTACGTTACTAGTACTACTTCTAAGCAACTGGTAAACATGCACAGAGCCATCTCAAGAAGCAGCACTCTGCACTAGCTAGGCTACTCTCCTTCTATAACTGTAAAATACCTCTGCCACAAGGTGGACTAGCCTTTTAAGGGGAGTGAGGCTCATCCCGACCTGTGCCTAGTTTTCCACCTCCCAGGTGATGGGTATGGATTTGGCTGGTGGTTGCGCCATGGGGTCAGGCATCACAGGATGGTAGCCTGGAGTGAGGCTTCATATAAGAGGGAACCTGCTTTCTCAGGAATGAGACATCAGGAGTCAAGGTAGGTCTTTCCAGAGATGCCTAAAGTGGGTTGACTGGCAGACATACCCTGTTTAGAGAAGTCTGGGGAGCTAAGGCCTGATATAAGGGTAAAGAGTAGACACAGACCTACAAGGAGGCTCCTGTGGGGAGATCCAGAGTAAACCCAGGGTCAGAGAAGAAGCTCTTTACACCAGCTGGTTGGAGCTACTTGCAATAAAGGACAACAGCAAAACTCTTAAGAGGGAAATAGGAGTCCAGGAGAGGCATCATGAAGTGGTGAGCCTGGAAAAATCTCTGGCTTTGAGTTAAACTACTTTATACTAATAAATCAGACCCCAGAGTAGAGAGTAGCTTCATTTGGATATAGTAGCATTCACTTCTTGTCCTTAACGCTCCCTTAGTGTTATTGCATGCTGCTGAACAACTGCCATATTCCACCTCAGATGAGCAGTGGGTGAAGTGATTGATTTCTATATAGTTTGCAAAAGTATTCTGGGAAACTTCAGGTGCTGTGCAGAGGCTCTAAACAGAATACTTTTCTGTATTATAGAAAGACCCAGAGACAGATTCCTGATGGGTGCCATACATAACACAGTAAATGATCCTGTCCCAAAGGCCAGTTACATTCTAATTAAGTAACACAGGTAACCAGTCCCCTCTTTCCACCAGCAAAAGAACTGCTTCTAGAAACCCTGGTTTGAATTCTTCCTTTGTGACAAGTTGGTTTAGAGCAACAAGATTGTGATTTTACATGATCAGGAAGTACTTAACAGGATCTCTGAAAAAGCCCAGGCAGGTATGAGAGGTGCAAGAAAACTAGGGATGCGGAGCCTGACTAATAGTGAGTGTACAGAAACAAGGCTGTCTTTGGGGTACCCCTTCCACTGCCTCATGGGCACCTCTGTTCTAAAACGTATCTTGAGACTAGCTAAGTGGCACCCTGGGGACACGGCCGCCTCTCGCAGCCCTCTGCCTGCCGGTGCTGTACACACCGCATACACCAACCTATCCTCACCCAACCACACCCCCATCTCAGGGCAGGCAAGACCTGTCCCACGGGGGCTAATCTGTACAGCCCGAGCCAGGGACACACGCTACAAGCAGCCGGAGTTTGCAGCACGTTCCCTACCCCCCAGGAGTAAGTTCCCCGTGCTAGGGGCAGGCGCGGGGCGCTGAGCAGGGTGGGTGGGTTCACGGCGGGCTGCGAGGAGACGGAGGGGGGGCTGGCACAGTGACCAGCCTCAGCCTGATCCAAACGGAAGGGGCAGCCTCAAAGGCGGCACCTAGGCGGGACCCGCCGGCAGGAAGGGACGCGGGCAGAGACGCCGGGGCCCGGAGCGGCGAAGGAGAAGCCCGAGCCCTGGGCAGGCGGCGAGCACTGGGGACGCAGGGGAGGCACGGCCCGGGAGGGGACAAGCACGCCGCACTCGGGGACCAGAAAGCGGGAGGCGGCAGCGGGCACCGGCAGCGGGCACAGCAGGGCGCGTCCCGGGGCTCTGGGGGCGGGAGACACATGCCGGGGGGGGGGGGGGTTGGTGCTGCTGGGAGGGACGCGACACCCGTCCCGCTCCGCTCGCAGCCTCTCACCTGCGGCGCTGCTGCCCGGGCTGAGGGCGAACTGGGACACGGCAGCCGCCCGCAGCGCCCACGCCACCAGCGGCCCCATTGTGCAGCCCGGCGGGCAGTCGCCGCCCGCTCACTGCGCCTGCGCGCCCCCAGCCCGCCCCTCCACGTTCCATCGGGCCGCCGGCGTATTCAGGGATGGGGAAGAAAAAAAAAAAAAAAAAAGAGGCCGCGGGAGCGGAGGGCGAAAAGCGCCCCGCACAAAGATGGCCGCCGCCGCAGCGGGGAAGGTGGGGGCGCGCCCCGCATAAACATGGCCGCGCTAGTCAAGCCCACAGAGGGTCCCATCGCGGCTGCGCATCCGGGACGCACTCGCTTTGCCTCCTGGGAGTTGTAGTGCCGGACATTTGCGCATGAACTCTCAGCGGGATTTGGGTGCCGCTCTCAGCCCTGGGCAGGGGGCGCACCCAGACCTCAGCCCTTCCCTGCCCAGGGGTCACTGCGCTGTGGTCGCAGCCCTGGAGCCCCTCACCAACTCTGCTGGGTTGGGTATAGGGAGCATGTGAACGCCACCTGTGGGGTGGGTGGGAATTGCTTTGCCCCCGGGGTACGGTTTGCATAGTGGGGGTGCTGAGAGCCATCGAACCAAACTGTAAACCCTGTGCATGATGGGAACACTTCAAGCCAGGGGCTGTGGCAGCTCCCCTAGTTCCAGCACCTATGCCCTATCCCCCCAGGTGACCAGATATCCCGATTTTATAGGGACAGTCCCGATATTTGGGACTTTATCTTATATAGGTGCCTATTACCCCCCACCCCCGTCCCAATTTTTCACACTTGCTGTCTGGTCACTCTACCCCCCCAAAGGTCACTGCACAGGGGAAGCAAAGGGGGCGAGAGCCCGGGCTGAGGGATTCATTTGCTTGAAGCTAGGTCACAGCAGTGCCTGGACAGTCTGCTGGAAGTCTGTGTCCATTTCTGGTGTCAGCCAAGAAGGAAATTGATAAATTGAAAAGAGTTCAGAGAAGAGCTTCAAGAATGAGTAAAGGATTAGCAAACATGTCTTATCGTGAGAGACTCCAGAAGCTCAATCAATTTACCTGAACAAAGAGAAGGCAAAGAAGTGACTTGATCAGTCTATAAGTACCTACATGAGGAATGCAAACTTGATAATGGGCTCTTCAATCTAGCAAACAGAGGTATAACAAAATCCAGTGGCTAGAAGCTGAAGCTGACAAATTCAGACTTGAAATAAGGCACACATTTATAACAGTGAGGGTAATTAATTATTGGGAAAACTTAACAAGAGTCATGGTGGATTCTCCAACACAGGCTGTTTTTAAAATCAAGATTCGATCTTTTTCTAGGTCAAACAGGAATAAAGTCAGGGATGTTCTCCAGCTTGTGTTATGCAGGAGGTCAGACTAGATGATCACAGTGATTCCTTCTGGTCTTGGGACTTCTCTTCATGTACAGCGCTGCAGTGGCACAGCTGCAGGGCTTTACTGACGATGCTACTATGCTAACAGGAACACTTCTCCCCTTGATGTAGTTAATCCACCTACCTGAGAGACAGTAGCTATGGCCACAGGAGAAGCTTTCCCATCAACACAGTGTTGTTTATATTCAGGGTTAGGTCAGTATAACTATGTCACACAGGTTCTATGGATTTTTCACACCCTGAGCAACATATTTATAGCAATAAAAGTCTGTTGTGCAGAGCTGGCTTTATAATCTACGTATTTGTGAACTTGCTACCTATTTTTAAAAGTGCCAACCAATTTGAGAAGGCTGCATTACTGTTTTGAAAGCCACTTTTTTATTGGAAACCATTAGAGATAAAAATATTTTGAGAATGATGCCTTGTCCACAGTGTCTAGCACTGGCCTATGTAACTATGTTATCTGAAACCATTTTGAAGTATTCTGTTAATTATGGTGCAACTTGAATACAAAAGGAAAGCAATGCATCTTCCTCGAAGGATGTTACAATCTAGATAAAAACTTTCAGAAAATAGTCAATTTCTGAGAGTAACACTGGCCACTCCCTCTCCTTTTTTTCTTCCCCCAACCATCCCTCATGTGTGCTTCTGACCCTGTATGTAAAAAAATATGGGAAACTCGAAATAGATAAGGCAGTCTCAGAGCAGCTAGGGACTACCTTATTTTTTGAGATTCGGGAGAGTGGGATTGCTGGGAAATGTAGTAATGTTGTAGTCCTAGCCTAGGGCAAAACAAGCTAGGAAGTCAGAGAAATATATGAATCCTGTCCTCTCCTAAGAGCATGTCTACGTTACAGGTGCTGCTGTGGTGCAGCATCATAGTATAAATGCTTCCTACAGTGATAGAAGGGTTTTTCTATCTGTGTAGTTAATCCACTTCTCTGAGCTGCAGAAACTATGTTGACAGAAGAATTCTGCCATCAATCTAGCTGTGTTTATACTGCGGGTTAAATAAGCTTAACTACGGTGCTCAGGGGTATGAATTTTTCACACTTCTGAGCACTGTAGCTATGTTGCCCTAACTTTTAAGAGCAAACAAGTACACAAACATGGAAGGAGGTAAGTTGTACTGAGGGACTTGCCTGAAAATTATAGGTAAGTACAACAAGGTTTTTCATTGTTTTTCCTTTTGCTTTGTAATTTTTTTCCTTAAATGCAGGTATCTCTGACACTGGTCTCATCTGATTTCTAAGAAGCTACAGACGAGCTGAGAGAGAAGGCAGCAAGGAAGCATCAGGAGTGCCCTGAACAAGTACTTAGTGTGTGGTCCTCAAAAAGCATAGAGAGAGAGATTTTGGGTCAGTTGCTGGCTAACGGAAGTATGGGACTGTCAGGTTTGGGTCTGTGAGCAAGAAAACGGTCTCCTGTTGTTTAGCTCCTCCCATGTTCAGGGAAACAGAACATTCTACATTCTCTCTACATGAACAAGATTGCATTAAAGGTTCTTGAACCCATCATAGATTTCTCCTCCTAACTGGAACAACCTGCAGGGCCCCAAACTGTGACTAGTCGCTTAGGTCAAAGGTGATAACACTAACTACAGTGAGAAACTGGAAAATCTAAGGCACTCCTCATATGCTGATCCCAGACTCTTCTTGGCATATGAGCCTCTCCCCAGAAATCCATTAGATCAGGAAAATAATCAACTTCTCTCAAATGTTGTCAAGAGCAATCTTCTTGCTTTCTGCTTAAACAGAATCAATTTTTCAGCTCCTCTTCTAAGGTGTTATTGTTGTCTCTGATCACCTACTTGTGGCATCCATGTTCTGTGTCAATGTGCTCATTGTGGTTGCCTCTCATAGGTTGCATGCCAACCTGTCACACAGCCAGTAGGACCGTAGTAAATGGCTCTGCAGCAGAAGGTTGTCATTTGCAGTGCTCTTTTTTAGGCAGACAGCAGAAGCTGTAGCCAGCAGAGATAGTCAATAGCCACTAAGTCTTTATAGGGCTCAACTCATTTGAGGTAAATCTACCTTCATGGGGAAGTTTAAGACGAAACTCCTGTGAAGCTACAGATACAGACTTCCCCCGACCCTCCAGGTTTATGTAATGAAAGTGCCTTAGCCCATTGGTGTTTGCTTTTGGAATATGCAGCTTTTCTTAAGCTTGGAGCCTTTCCAAAGTGACTTGGCTGTGAGCTTAATTGGAAACCCTTAATTCTCATTTCAAATACAGTACCAACCTTGCCTCACCTTCCCTCCTCTCCCCAATTTCCCTCTGAGCCTGGGGCTTTGTGAAAGGAACATCTGGCTGTGATCCTCAATGCCTTGTTTCGAACATCATTCGTCCCTCAATTTTTCTGCCAGGAGAAGTACCAGCAGAAACCCATTTCATTTTGTTCCATCTGCTTGGAGCAGAAAAGCTGTTGGCTGTAAACCTGCAGTGTTCAATGTCCTTGCCCAGATAGTCATTATGGAACAGTAATGGGTGCTTGGGGAAGAATTCTGAGACCTCAGGGCCCAATAGAGGAAAAAACTATAGGTAGTGCCCTGCTGCCAAATCCAGATCTTCAGTCTCTTCCAATTCTGGGATCCTGGATTCACTCCTCATTCCTGGCATCTGTTGTGCAACGAAGATTCCCTCTCTCTTTGTCCCTTAACATGGCAGGCTATATTGAATAGCAAGTCCTAGGTATGCTGTTTGGTTCCTCAAAGAATGGACAAGCTTTTTCTTCAGCCCTTGATCTTCATTCATTGTCATGGCCTTTTGGTGTTATCCAGTACTGCCACCCCCAAAGTTCAAAACTCATGATTCAAATGCCCCCCAAAATGAGATTTTTTTAAAAAGAAAACCATTGTGATTCTTGGTTAGCTTTCAGACTCTTGTATGTATGTGGGGGGTGGGGGTGGAGGAGGGTGACACCTACTGTTGTCATCTCTCAGTATACAGTAAGTAAAGTGACTTATTTTGGGGGGTGGGAAGGAGGCCACTGCAGGAGCTCTGGATAGAAGATGCAATTGAGATAAAATTATAAACTTGCCTCAGATACTGCCCAATAGTGTAGAGGGCTTCAAACCCCAAATTTCCAATTATTTCTCTGCACTCTCAGCCCCAGATCTGCCCCTTGGTTTCTGTGCATCTTGTCTCCTCCTGTAGCTATGGAAGCTCTTAACCTCCCCGCCTCACCTGAGGTGGCATGCGGGGCATCTTCAGAAATTCTTCACCCCTCACTCCTAGGCCTGGAGTTGTCTAGCTAGAGAAGAGCTGCCTGCCTCCCTTTTTTTCCTTTTTTCCACAAGGGAGGAGGAAGCGAGCTTCCCTGAGCTGCTGGGTTATCTCAACTTCCTCCCCTCTTGGGACAATGGTATTGGCTGCTCCTTCCCCTACCCAGAAACTTCTGTGGGTCTTGGGGAGAGAGCTCTGCCTGCCAAAGGCAGCAGCTATCATAGAATCACAGAATATCAGGGTTGGAAGGGACCTCAGGAGGTCATCTAGTCCAACCCCCTGCTCAAAGCAGAACCAATTCCCCAATTTTTGCCCCAGATCCCAAATGGCCCCCTCAAGGATTGAACTCACAACCCTGGGTTTAGCAGGCCAATGCTCAAACCACTGAGCTATCCCTCCCCCAAAGAATATGTGCTCCAGGTGAGGCTCGAACTCACAACCTCGACATTGCTCTGCTCTGTACTGCTGTATAAGTACCGCGCGCTAACTGATTGCGCCACTGGAGCTGTGCTTCTCCAGGAGCCAGGGAAG